CGTTGGGCCAAATGGCCCGCTTCCACACAGTAGGAATTCTATGATTCGAACTGCTGGGCTGGTCACGTGCTTAGGATGCTTGGGTTTGGATTGCCAAAGAAAATCATCTTCGTCCAATTCAAGGAAGGCACTTGAATGAGAGGACTAAGGAAACATTTCAAAAGACTCCCTGAAGGTTTCTGCCAAGGAAGCTACATATGGGAGACCCTGGTTCAGAAGAAATCAACTTGGAGCAAACTCCTGTACAAAGGGACACAATTCTTCAAGAACACATCAGCAACAGAAAGTATGGAAAATGAACTGTAGAAAGGAATGTCAGCAATCTTAAGGCCAAGGATCAATCCCACTTTCTGGAAATACCTACCAAATGCGTGGTCAGAGTTGTGGTTCCAGAATTGGGCTCAGCAACATACAAAGAATTTTATGGAAGAATCTAGAACTAGAGCTTACAGTGGGAAAACAAAAGGGTGGTTAATTTAACAATAATACTTTTCTCAGAGGGTTGAGCATCGTTGGAATTCCTCTCCCTCAAAGGAGGAGAAGGAAAGCAAAACCTTTGAATACTTTTTAAGGCAGAGGTAGACAGATTCTTCTTAAACATAAAAATGACAGCAAGAGTAGGCCAGTTGGCCCTTCAAGCCTACTCTGCCATTCAGAATGCTGATCATCCAAAGGTGGGAATGTGGAATAATCAGATCACCCATGGTCTTATTGAATGGCACAGAAAGCTCAAGGGGCCAAGTGACCTACTCCTGCTCCTAAATAGTATGTGAAAAGACTTGAACTGTTTTTAAAGTGGGGTGACAGGAACATCTTTCCAAGAGGTGTGCAATACAAATAAATAGCATTGAGTTCAGTGAAAGGTTATTGGGTGTGCATCTATGGAGTCAGTGATTACAATATTTAGTGTGGAGGACAGGTATCAGCTTCAAAGAGCAGCTTACTTCTTCATATTAGTCCTATCAAGACAATATTGATTTTATACCTCAATGTATGTAAACTTACCGCAAATGGACAGAAAGCCATTATCTGTTCTGACAGCCCTGTCCAGGAATATTTTGCCTGACAACTCTACCTCAAAACTAGCATCACTGATAAGAAAATATTTTTATAATAAAGAACTTGAAAACTATTTTGTTTACTTGTTTAAACCATTCCCAAGCAAATATGCCAAAAAATTTTATGTGGTTTTATAGATTTCAAACATGAGGTTATAATGAGGTTAATGAGTAGACAAAAGATGGGGAATTATAGACCGGTTAGCTTAACCTCTGTAGTGGGGAAGATGCTTGAGTCTATTATCAAGGAAGAAATAGCAAGGCATCTTGATAGAAATTGTCCTGTTGGGCAAACGCAGCATGGGTTCATGAAGGGCAGGTCATGCTTGACAAATCTTTTGGAATTCTATGAAGACATTACGAGCAAGGTGGACAAAGGGGACCCAGTGGATGTGGTGTACCTAGATTTCCAAAAGGCCTTTGACAAGGTGCCGCACAAGAGGCTACTGCATAAGATAAGGATGCATGACATTAAGGGTAAAGTATTAGCATGGATAGAGGATTGGTTGACTAACAGGAAGCAAAGAGTGGGGATAAATGAGTGCTATTCTAGCTGGCAGTCAGTGACTAGTGGTGTGCCTCAGGTATCGGTGTTGGGACCACAATTATTTACAATTTATATAGATGATTTGGAGTTGGGGACCACGTGTAGGGTGTCAAAGTTTGCAGATGACACTAAGATGAGTGGCAAAGCAAAGTGTGCAGAGGACTGTGAAACTTTGCAGAGGAACATAGATACGTTGAGTGAGTGGGCAAAGGTCTGGCAGATGGAATACAATGTAAATAAATGTGAAGTCATACATTTTGGTAGGAGTAATAGTAAAAAGGATTATTACTTGAATGGTAAAAAGTTGCAGCATACTGCTATGCAGAGGGACCTGGGTGTCCTTGTGCATGAATCACAGAAGGTAGGTCTGCAGGTACAACAAGTAATTAGGAAGGCAAATGGAATTTTGTCCTTCATTGCTAAAGGGATTGAAATAAAAAGCAGAGAGGTTATGTTGCAGCTGTACAAGGTGCTGGTGAGGCCACACCTGGAGTACTGTGTGCAGTTTTGGTCTCCTTACTTGAGAAAGGATGTATTGGCACTGAAGGGGTGCAAAGGAGGTTCACTAGGTTGATTCCGGAGTTGAGGGGGTTGGCTTATGAGGAGAGACTGAGTAGATTGGGATTATATTCATTGGAATTCAGAAGATTGAGGGGGGATCTTATAGAAACATATAAAATTATGAAGGGAATAGATAAGTTAGAAGTAGAAAGGATGTTTCCACTGGCAGGTGAAGCTAGGACAAGAGGGCATAGCCTCAAGATTAGAGGGAGCAGATTTAGGACTGAACTGAGAAGGAATTTCTTCACCCAGAGGGTTGTTAATCCATGGAATTCCTTGCCCAGTGAAGTAGTTGATGCTACTTCAGTAATGTTTTTTTAAAAAAAAGGTAGATTTTTTTTGAACAATAAAGGAATTAAGGGATATGGTGAGAATGCGGGTAAGTGGATCTGAGTCCACGAAAAGATCAGCCATGATCTTATTGAATGGCGGAGCAGGCTCGAAGGGCCAGACGGCCTACTCCTGCTCCTAGTTCTTATGTTCTTATGTATAATCAGCAAAACACTCTGGCTCTAATACTTCTTTTAGTTGGTCTCACAATATTGCTTGTATCATACAGTTAAAAGTTATGCTATCAAGGTCACTATGACTTTGGCCTTAAATAAAGGATCTGTTATTTTAGGGTATACAATGTAATTTTCAATATAACACATTGATAAAAAGACATATTGTAAGTCCGGAGGTATATTGCATCCAATTCACTACATAGAAAAAATGAAGTTTTAGTTCACTGGAGGCATAGGTCAACTTACAAAAGCAGCATTTTTGCCACAAGTCTAATGCGGTGTACAGAACTACTTCAAATTGTAACAAGTACTCAATATTTTGCTTTTTCATCCCCCAACAAAATTTTCTTTTCTTGCTTAATGCAGTATTTTCCTCTGTCTTTGAACAAGTGATTCATTTCCATGTCTAACATCTAGGAAATGTACATGTTCTACTTGAGATCAATTATCAGGATGATGCTGAATTATAGGCTCTATTAAAGTTGAGTCATTTGGGGTTCAGGTGGCTCCTGCATATCAGAGACACCACTACAACAGGCTGGAGATCAAAATGGTGAATTTTCAGTGAGGTTATTAATTTGATTTATTTTAAAATATTGTCATGGAATATTTTGACAGCTGTATTTTTGTTTACATGACAATGGCTATTTTACACATTCTTTGCAAAATATATATGTCATAAAGAATCTGATTTGGGAATAAAGTAATATAGCACAGAAAGTATGCAATGTCCATATTACAGATGGGCAACTGCTACAGTAGAAATGCATTTGATTATCAACCGATGAAATTATCCAATCAGCAAAAGTAAACTGTCCTTTGACCTTATGGTCTGGAATCTAATCATAACCTTTTTATTTCTAATCATATTCTGTTTTAAAGATTTAAATTCATTGGTCACACTAGAATTGTAAGTGTACTATTCTTGACACCTTGCCTTCAAAAAGATATTAAGAATGAACCAGGGAAGAGCAGGATGAATGATTTCAACATTCAAGAAAACTAACAATTTGGACCTACTTCTAATAAAGAAAAGGTGAATAATCCAGGTTTTCAAAACTGTGAAACACAGTTTTAGTCTATTCCATAAACAACAACTGCTAAATAATATTAACTTGAGGTCAAACTGTGAAACTCACTCACCAATTCTCAACTTTCATTGGATAATTCAGAAAGAAAGGATGAGAACTCGTTCCTAGCTACATCAACAGAACGGAGGTTGAGAGAGTGAACAGCATCAAATTCTTTGGAGTGATGACAACCGACGACCTGTCCTGGACTTCCCACGTAAATGCGACAGTCAAGAAGCCCTCTATTTACACGGCCTGGTACCATGGAAAGGTGGCCAACATAAAAGACCTCCTACAACCTCTTTCGTCAGGCAGAAGATACAGAAGCCTGAACGCAAACATGAGCAGATTCAGGAACAGCTTCTTTCTTGCCATTATCAGACTGTTGAATAGACTTTAGCCTCAAATAATGTAACCTGCAATGTAACCTGAATGCCTCCAAGTCTTTTTGATCCGTACATCCTTTGCTTGCTGTGATCTGCCTGTACTGCTCGTAAACAAAGCTTTTCACTGTATTTCAGTACACATAACAATAAAATCAAATCAAACAATTCTGGAGTTACTACTGATCAGAAACTGAACAGGACTAGCCATACTGTAGCTACAGGAGCAGGTCCAGAGATAACAAATTCTGCAGCAAGGAACTCACCTCTTGATTCCACAAAGCCTGTTTAGCATCTACAAGGCAAAGATCAGAAGTGTGATGGAACAGTCTGCACTTGCCTGGATGAGTACAGCTCCAATAACACTCAAGAAATTTGATTCCATCTAGGTCAAAGCAGTTTGATTGGGCACCACATCCACAAACATTCAGTCCCTCCACCATTGACACAGGTCATCTACAAGCTGCACTGCAGAACTTCACAAAGGATCCTTAAACAGCCCCTTGCAAATCTGCAACCACTACCAACTTGGACAATGGCAGCAGATACATGGGAACAGCATAACCTGCAAGTTTACACCAAACAACTCACCATCCTGACTTGGAAATATATTATTGCTCCTTCAGTTCTGTTGAGTCAAAATCTTTCCTAACAGCATTGAGGTTGTAGCTACACCAAATGGATTGCAGCAGTTCCACAAGGCAGCTCACCATCACCTTTTCAAGGGCAACAACAGATGGGCAATAAATGCTGGCCCTGCAAGGGAAATCCACATCCCATGAAAGAATAAAAAAAACCTACAATAATGTAAGTACAACAAAAGAACAAGTGGTGAACCATATTGTTTGAGGTCACCTCAGAAGTCAACACGGATAAAAGGTGCAAATATATTTATTTAGTCACATCTAGCAGAAAGGGATTTTGTAAAAGGTTCAATAGAATTATTACTTGCAGTAGGTAGTTATTTGGCACATAGAACAACCTTTGTTCTGTGTTATTTAGTCCACATATTTAGACTCGTGTAACAGAAGCTTCTGTTGCTTGCAAGTCGAACCTACATAGATGCCCATCAAGAAAAGGATGTTAAATTTCACATTAAATTTCCAGCCATGGCAAGCAGATTTGACAACTTCTTGATGATCAACAAATTATTAATGAAAGGAAGGCATAATTACAAAAGAAAAATTGTTAAAAACTGAGGAACACATCTTACCACATTCTGAGCCAACATAGCGTTGCAACATGACTATAAGTATTACATTTTTTTAGAAACAGTCAAAACACAACTGCAGAACAACCTTTATTCTTTGTGTAATGACAGCTCAATTCTGTGTACTAAGCTCTATTATTTCCACAGACAATTTAAAAGAATGGAGAACACGGTGTAATTTTTAACCACCAAAGAGCAGAATACTATGATTGCTAGAAGTCTGGAATAAAAACACAAAATACTGGGAATACACAGCAGGGCAGGCAGCATCTATGGAGAGTGAAACACTGAATATTTCAGGGAAAGTTAGAGATTTAGTATGTTTTGAGCAAGCAGCAGCTGGGACAAAAAGAAAAATGTCTGTGATACAGTGGAAGATTGGAGAAACAGAATGACAGAAGAGTTAGTTTTACAGGGTCAAACGGAAAACAGTGATCGAGAAAGAAAATTAACCCAAGGTGGGCCAACAGCAGTCTGAAAGCAAGAATAAAAGTAAAATCAAAACATACATCAAAAGGGAATAAAATAGGTTGGGAATAATGGGGTGCTCCCATCGTTCACTCTTCAAACCATCTTGTCCCATTCCCATTGCACTGATCCCTGCAAACACAGGAGATGTAACATTTTTACTCCTCCTCTTCTCACCAAAGGCCCAAACACTTCTCCCAGGTGAAGTAATGATTTACATGCTCTATTAATTTAGTCTGTAATCACTACTCACAGTGTGGTCTTCTCTAAACTGGGGAGATCAAACACACACTGGATGATTAGTTTGTGGAACATCTATGACCAGTCCACAAGCATAACCCTGAACTTCACATAGCCTGTCATTTTAATTCTCTACCTTGCTCTCACAATGACATGTCTGCCCTTTGACTGCTGCACTGTTCTAGTGAAGCTCAACGTAAGCTTGAAGAATAGCGCCTAATCTTTTGAAGAGGCACTTTACAGCCTTCTGGACTTGACACTGACTTCAACAATTTCAGACTATAAACTCTGTCCTCTGATTTAGTTTACTTTTCTTTACATGTTTTGGCTTCCCTCTTATTTTCATATTCAGAAATAGCACATTTGCTACAGGCACATTTTTCATTTTTTTCTTGCCCCATCACCATTCCGTTAGACTTGCAGGGCCAAACTTGCTTGTCTTCTACCCTTTCACAGGTGTTGCTTTCATGTTGTCTCACCCACATCTTGCTTAAAACGCACTGACATCTCTTATTTTTCATAGTTATGTTGAATGGTCATTCACTTGAAGTCTTAACTTTATTTCTTTCTACACAAATGATACCCGACCTGAGTAGTTCCAGCATGTTGCGACTGTTTTACTATCCTGTATATAAAAATATTCATAATGACTGACATAACGTAATTACTACAAAGCAGCACCTCATTTAACAACTTTTGTGCAATTCATCCCCTTGTATTAGACTCATTAGCATGTACAAATTGGACTATAATTCCCAGCACCTGCATGTTGGCCAGCAGTTCAAAGACTCAAATGCTATTGTTTTGCACTTTTAACAATGGTATTTGAAAGGTTAAAGTTCCAGTTTTTTATCTGAAGAGCCCTCCCTGTGAACAATGTGATAGAGTTCAGAAATTCAGCAGTTGGTACTTCCTCACAATGCTATCCCTGGAGCAAGTGTAGGCAAACTTCTCCCACAGAACTACCTGAAATACAAGAATGTTTAGAAAGACACATATATTAAACAATGTATGGACATTTGTCAAAAGGTACTGGTGCAGGAGGCATCCCTGAAGTGGTGATTCTCATAATTGGTAACAAGAACAAAATCAGAATATGTAGGTACTAAGATATTAGATACATTCTAATAAAACCTTTAAGTTGCACAACAATGATTCCAGAGTTAGCTGAAAATTTCAACTCAAAAATGATGATTTTGGTATCCAATTCATCAGAAACTAAAAACAGACAGAAAATACAATCCTAAATTCATAGCTCATCACCCCAAGGACTAAATGAAAGTCTAAACCACGCACTGTATTTTGCATTAAACGCTTTACAAAGTTAAATTCTGTACTTTCAGAAGTTGAGGAGGATTGCCACATTTAATACTGGACACAAAGTGATGTATTTAATACATTATTGACAATATAGAGATTTGAATTTCCAAATCATTCATAGTCAAAAGCTAAAAACCCTAACTGACAGAGAACTTAGACTACCAAATTTTTTTTAATGCCATACTTGAGACAACCAAACAGGACTGATAGAAATATGAACCATCATTGTTTTGCTTACCTTGTAAATGGGGTCACAGTCAGGCCCTGTAAATTCAATTACATAATCCTGATCCTGTTGAACAATGTAACAACTTCCATCACCTGAAACAATAAGATCCAAAATACGACAGCTTTGAAGGTTTGGCTGCTGGTTGGATAATTTCTAATCACCTTTTCAGCGTTATGACACACCCGTGCAGTAGGTGGGATTTGAACCTTGGACCTCCTGGAGGTTTAGCTACTTTGACTATGCTCCAATAAACAAGCCACATTATTACATATTTAATATACATTAACTTCCAGTTGGCATGAAAACTTTTTTTAAAGTTTACTCTCACTCCTCACCCACTACTTCCGAAGGTGCTAATGTCGAGGTATAGCATCATTGTTTATGCACAAGCATGGCCACCACATGTCAGCAAGGAACAAATGGAAGGCTATTACATGAGTACAAGCCTATTCTTGTTCCCATAAGAAAACCAGCTATCAAGGGTCAACATGTGATCAGAAATATGATGTCTGAGTGATGACCTTTTGTATTTTTGTTTCCATAGTCACCTTCATGCATTCCTAAATAGTTGAATGCTTGACTTTGATCTGAAAGGTCTCTTAGCTCTCTCTAGTCAACATACGTACTTTCTTGGGATGATTTTGGTTAGTTTTCAGCTGAGCTACTCAACTGTTCCAAAGCATCAGACCTGCAGCAATGAAGCAAGCAGTCATCAAAGTCAAACTCTGTCTCTTGTCTGTCACAGATCAAGGATGGGAAGGAATTGGGTCATGGAGGGACATGAAAGCAAGGATGAGTTTTATTTTATAAATGTTTGACTGGGATCCAAGGTGAATCAGGGAGAATGGGGGCAATAGGTGAATGAGACTTGACACAAGTAAGGCAGTCGAGTTTTGGATAACTTCAAGTTTCCAAAGGACAAATTGCGAAAGGCCAGCCAGGGGAGAAAGAAACATTGTGAAAGCTTGAGCAGTAAATAACTGGATGTCTAATATCATTTCCAGAATGGTCATTGGCTCACAACTACCTTAGGTTAGAGTAAGTTTCTAAACAGTTGAAAGCAATCAAGTACTTTGATTGGAGTGGAGGGTGGGACGGTTGAATAGAGGTGAAGAAAAGTGAACCACTAAAAAAGTTGAGAGATAATGTAGATGGAGATGAATCAAATTATTATATTCTGGATAGAAACAAAAACAAAATTGCTGGAAAAGCTCAGCAGGTCTGGCAGCATCTGTGAAGGAAAAAACAGAGTTAATGTTTCGGGTCCGGTGACCCTTCCTCAGAACTGACCCGAAACGTTAACTCTGTTTTTTCCTTCACAGATGCTGCCAGACCTGCTGAGCTTTTCCCGCAATTTTGTTTTTGTTCCTGTTCCTGATTTTCAGCATCTGCAGTTCTTTTGGTTTATATTCTGGATAGGTTTGGAATAGATTTCCATACCTAAAGCCTTTTTGTTTGTTAGAGACAAAATGTCTTACTTATTTCCAGTACATTGTTGAGATTGTTTTTCAACATTTAACTCTAATATTTGTAATATGATCACATTTCTTAATATGGAGCTTTTTTTTTCCTGTATTGTCTTTTAGCACATGCAATGAACTCATGGAAATGAAGAAACAAATGCTATCTTACCATGGCTAGCTACAAAGCCTTCTCTACAGGGCAACAAGGAAAGCGCTGGGGATCCCGATCGATGGATAAGCTGTAAAGGAGTTCTGCAAAGGTAAAAACAAATTGAGCTATTTCTACCTTTGTAAAATATAAACGCACACTCCAGGAGATTGCGGCACAGAGGCTTTTCCAGTAAGCACTATTTTCTGTCGAATGTACAGATACGAAATTCAACTCTAAACCAATCAACTCCCCTTGGGAATACAGGAAATAGGAGCAGATGACCATTCGACCCAAGTCTGCTTTTGCGATTTAAATAGATCATGGCTGATCACCTACTTCTATACCATTTTCCAGTGGTATGCCCATATTCCTATCCAGAAACCTATCATTTTTTTGTCTTGAACATGCTAACTGATTGAGCTTCTGCCGCTCTTTGGGATAGAGAATTCCAAAGATGCACCACCTTCAGTAAATAAATGCCTCCTCATCTCAGTCTTAAATGGTCTGCCCCTTGCTCCGAGATGGTGTACCTTGATGCTACAGTCACTAAGTGGGGAAAAACCATACGCACTCAGTCACATCTTTGTAAAAATTTTGTAAGTTTCAATAAGGTGATCCAATTCTTTTAAACTCCTCAGAATACAAGCTCAGTTTACTCAAACTAGCCTCATAAAACAATCCCACAATTCCATGATTAATCTGGTGAACCTCACTGCACTCATTCTACGGCAAATACATCCTTCCTTAGATGAACTGTATACAATACTCTAGTTGCAGTCTCACCAAGGCTCTATGTAATTGCAGAAAGCCATCTTTACTCTTGTGCTCAAATCCCCTTGCGATAAAGGCCAATGTACCATGTGCTTTTCTATTTACTTGCTGCAGTTGTGACTCATGAAGGAGAATACCAACATTTCCCAGCCTCTCAACATGAAGAAATACTCCGTCTTTGTTATTTCTACCGAAGTAACTAACTTAACACTTATTCCATCTGCCATGTTTCTGCCCATTCACACCTAGTTTTCTCTCATCAGCAAATTTGGAAATATTATATTTGGTCCCCTGATTCAAATCATTTAAGCAGATGGTGAACAGCTTTGACTCAAGCACAGATCCTTGTGATACCCCACCCGCCTGTCATCCTGCAATTGATCCATTTATTCCAACATTCTGCTTTATATCTGTTAACCAATTCTCAATCCCAATTAGTATATTATCCCCAAACCTTTGGAAAATCCATATTCTCCACATCCACTGGTTCTCTTACCTATTCTACTCGTAACATACCCAAAAAACTTTCCAACAGATTTGTCAAGCACAACTTCTCTTTCAAAAATCCACATTGAATCTACACGACTATATAATTATTTCCTAAATGTCAAGTTAGCATATTCTTTCCAACACATTCTAATAGTTTTCTGACTACTCATGTTGAACTAACAGGTCTACAGTTCTCAGTTTTCTCTGTCCCTCCATTCTTAAACATTGGAGTAATATTTACTACTGACAGTCTGCAGGAGCCTTTCTAGAATCGACAGAATTTTGAAAGACAGTTACCAATGCATCCACTATCCCTGTAGCACAATCCTTTGGGATACAACTAATCTGGTCCAGGGAATTTATCAGTCTGCACTCCAATTAATTTTTCAAGTACTACCACTTTGTTAATAATAATTTCTTTCAGTTCCTCATTTTCGTAAGTCTCTTAGTTCCCTAGCATTTTTGGGAGTTTTTTTAATTCATTAAGGGGATGAGGGCATTGTTGGATAGGCCAGCATTTATTGTCCATCCCTGATTGCCGAGAGGGTAGTGAAGAGGAGGGTAGTGAAGAGGCAACCACATTGTTGTGGGTATGGAGTCACATGTCGGCCAGACAAGGTATGGACAGCAGAGATAGTAGGTACTGCAGATGCTGGAGAATCCGAGACAACAAGGTGCAGAGCTGGATGAAGGGTCTAGGCCCAAAACATCAGCCTTTCTGCTCCTATGATGCTGCTTGGCCTGCTGTGTTCATCCAGCGCTGCACCTTGTTGTCAAGGTATGGACAGCAGTTTCCTTCCTAAAGGACATTAGTGAACCAGACGGGTTTTTACAACAATCAAAAACTGACTCATCATTAGACTCTTAATTCCAGACTTTTTTAGGAGGCGGCAATGGCCTAGTGGTATTATTGCTGGACTGTTAATCCAGATACCCAGGTTCGAATCCTGCCTCAGCAGATGGTGGAATTTGAATTCGATAAAAATATTTGGAATTAAGAATCTAATGATGACCATGAATCCATTGTTGATTTTCAGAAAAACCCATCTGGTTCACTAATGTCCTTTAGGGAAGGAAACTGCCATCCTTACCCGGTCTGGCCTACATGTGACTCTAGGCCCACAGCAATGTGGCTGACTCGTAATTAGGGGTGGGCAATAAATGCTGCCTAGTCAGCAACGCCTTTATCCTGTGAATGAATAAAGAAAAAAATTTTTTTTTGATTCAAATTCCAGCATCTGCCTTGGTGGGATTTGCACCTGGGTCCCCAGAACATTATCTGGGTCTCTGGATTAACAATTCAGCAGTAATACCACTAGACCATTGCCTCCCCAATTTTTTGCACCTTCTTCCATGAAAGTAGATACAAAGCAATTGTTTAATATTTTTCACCATTCTTCTACTTTCCATTGTAAATGCTCCTGTCTCCAATTGTAATTCATCATCATCCTCATGGCTAATCTTAGAATCCCTACAGGTAGAAAAAAGGCCATTTGGCCCATCAAGCATGCACCGACCCACCAAAGAGCGTCCCACCCAGATCCAAACCACCCCCCAACCCATCCCTGCATGGGGCTTTTAACCATAGCTAACCCACCAAACCTGCACATTACAGGGCAATTTTTAATACAGCCAATCCACCAAACCTGCACATCTATGGACTTTGGGAGGAAATTGAAACACCCGGAAGAAACTGACGCAGACACAGTGAGAACGTGAAAACTCCACATAGACAGTCGCCCACGGCTGGAATCGAACCCGGGTTCCCTGACACTGAGAGGCAGCAGTGCTAACCATTGTGCCACCATACTGCCCACATCTTTTCCTTTTAATATATGTAAAGAAACTTTCACAATCAGCTTTTACATTGCTCGCTAGCCTGTATTTCATATTCTCTTTCCCCTTTATCAGTTTCTCAGTCATCTTTTGTTGGGATTCTAAATTAGTCCCAATCCTCAAGCTTACCAATTTTTCTGGCATGCTTAAAAGACCCTTCCTTTGATCTATTACAACCTTTAATTTCTTTTGTTAGCCAAGGCTGAATCTCCTTTACTGTTGGGTTTCTGCATCTTAGTAGAGTACATATTTGTTTTGGACCACAGAATACCTTAAATGCTAGTCATTACCCGTCTATTGTCAAATCCCTTCCTGCATTTTTCCAATCCACCATAACCAAAGTGCCCCCTATAAACTTTCCAATTTCTCTAGATGAGATTTAGGATCCTAATTTCGAAATGAATTATATCATTTTTAAACTAAAAGGAAAATTGTGTGACATTACAGTCACTGTTCCTCAAAGATTGCTACACAGCATGGTTATTATTTAGCTCTTTCTCATTACATACCATTAAAGCTAAAATAGCTTGCATCCTAACTGATTCCACAATCTAGTGCTTTAGAAATCCATCTCATACACATACTAGGTATTTACTTTTCAGAGCGTTAGTGTTGATTAAATTTATCCAGTCTATATATAATTATTATTATATTACCCATATTACATAATTGTGTCCAACATTACCCCTGCAGTTTGGTGACCGATAAACAACTTCCGCCAATGTTTGTTACCCTTTGCTGCTATTTAGCTCCATCCAAACTGATTCTAAATCTTGACCCATTGCTCCAAGATCCTTTCTCACTAATTGAGGACTTCATCCCTTATAAACAAAGCTATCTTCTCAGCCCCTCACCCAATCCTTTCCATCCTAAATAACTATTATCTGTAAATCAATTCCCAGTCCCAGTCTCTATTTAACCATGTCCGAATAATGGTAATTAAATCATATCAATTTACCTCATTTGCACCTTAAAATCATATACCTTATTGTTAATGCTGCACACATTCAAACAGAGTGGCTTTAACTTTGTTTTTTTATTATTTTATTCTGCATTCTGGCTGTATTTGATGTTTGCCTTCCTTTCATCTAACATTGTTACAAATTTTCTACCTTTTGTCACCAGTTCTGCTTCCCCCAAACTGAACTCCCTCTAAAGGTTCTTATCCCCGCCAACCTAGATTAACTCCTCCCCAACAGCACTCGCAAATCCTCTCTGACAACAATAGATGGTTCTGTTCCCTCACAAACTGTTCCACTACCCATAAAAAGTGGGAGTTAGCTTCCTTAAAAAAAAACTCACTCAGCATTCACCCAATCGCCAACTGCCCTTCCCTTTCCAAGACCCTCTTCCCAGCACCATATCTACCTCACAGAACCCTGAACTTCACAAAATGGCCTTCACCCTTTTCAACACCACAACAGTTTTAACCAAATGACATGAATGACTTCTCCAACCATGATTCGTAACTTTATTCCTCTTCTTTGCAGTATCGATTACAGTTGATGACTTCATCCTCGCGCAATCTTTCTGCTGTCCAGCTCCATGGACCTGCCCTTACATGATTTAATTCCCACCCATTTGAGAACAACCCCAGCTGTTTTGCTCTCCTTCACATAATATCTAAGAATCTATCCTCTCTGCTCTCTTCTTCATCTGCGCGTTGCTCTGCAGCAGCAACGTCAGCAACATGCAGTCAGTATTCATGTGTATGCCGATAACATACTAACTGTCTGTAATCTCCGACCTCCCAAAGATCCAATCTATTACAATGTTCTCCAGCTCAGTATCTGCAACAGAGCCTTAGACCTTGGTTCCCACAACCGGAAATGTTTGCATTCTATTCAACTCTAGGCTAACTTCAAAGACCACTTACTTCCATTTATTCATAAACCATATCTTCAAGCCCTCTGCTGTGCAGATCCTACTTAATGCCTTTTTCACTTGACTTATGTTGCAGACATTCTGATCAACATTCACTTAATTATCCTTGCTTATGTATCATGGCCCCCGTGTCTCCAACACTGTCCATTTGAAATTCTGATCTTTGCCCAAAAATCTCTCTTATGGTCACCCTATCACCTCCCACATGTCTCCACCATTATTTAAAAATAGATCCCACAATTAGTAGCACAGCATTCAGTGGCTTCAATGCCACTCTTTAGAACTCCCTAGCTGAACCTCTCCATTCTCTTAAAGACTGTCATACATGCACCTGACCAAGCTGATCTGCCTTACTAAACTTTCTTCTTGCTTCTACTTAGAAATATTTTTGAGAGATAAGGATACTCTTTGCAGTTTAATAATAATCTGCAAAAAGATTTATGAATACATATGATATGCTGCTTAAATATTGTAATTTAAAATAAAAATCGAGACATGAAAATGGCACATTGAGATCATGTGATGTGGCATGTGACCAAGACATTTTCCAATGAATTATAGAATAGCTAAGGTATAGATGGAAAATATGAATTAAAACCTAATTTAAAATTTAATACTTCAAAGGAATTTTCTCCAATTCCCCATATGATTTACACTGGTTAAAAACCAAATTTGAAGATATTTGCTGAATTTAAGTGAAAGAACTAGCATTCTTTCCTTGAGTATTGCAAGTTTATATCAATTAGTTACAAAGTATCATTAAGTATCTACAACACAGAAACTAACCATTTGGTCCAACAGGCAAGTGTTTATGCTCCACTTAAATCTCCTCCCACCCTTCATCTAACAACAGCAAGTCTTGAGACCTTTTTCCTCTGGTGTTAATCTAGCTTCCCCTCAATTCAAGAATCAACTCATTTCAAATCATTCGCTTTGACAGCGAATTCCACTTTTTTCACCAACACCTTCTGTATTAACTACACCTCCAACCTGGTGTCATCCCGAAATCTGAAAATTGTAACCTCTGATTCCTAAATGCAAATCTTTTATGCAAATAGTGAAACATTGTCCCAGCACTGATCCATGTAGAACACCATTTTCTAGCATTTACTAATCCACGCTTTTAAAGGATTTTATAAAACTGGGACAATATAATCACAAAAAGAACTGAACATCCAAGCTAACCACCAAGTGGATTTAATGTATTACCACAAAGCATACTTACTTTGTGTTTCGAACATCCAGCTGATAAATGTTACCATCTTGTGTTCCTGCAAGGATATGAGTACTTGAAAGGAACGTACAACAGTTGAAAGCATCGGATCCCTCAAACATAAATATCTGAAAATTCACAACACAGAAATGTGTCAGATTTATCTGTTATTTTAGACTGAATATGATAGGGCTTTGAGGTATTTGATGCCATTTCTAGATTTAAACAGATATCAAGAGGAGGCATTATGATTACACTCCACCTGCCCCAAAAGCAAAGCTAATTCAACCTCAAAGGAATGACTCTGTGTAGATTTTTTTGTTGTATCAGTTCTTCTCTCCTTTTTCAAAAAAAAGTAATGTCATCATTTTTAATTCTTGTCACATTTCCTGACCAAAAGAACTGCTTAGAGACAAATGTAAGATTGCAGCTCAAGCTGCCTAGCATATTCAATTTCCCTTAAGAGAACTCATGACACAATCCACCAGATCAGACGATATTAAATCATAACTAAACTGGCATTAAGCATTCATATCTAAACACATGCATTATGGTGGTCTGTGATAATATTAAATATTAATGTAAATACAAAAATATTATAAGAAATACATTTCTACAAGTTTTTTTAATTGTAAATCAATGTGCAAAGCATAAATGTATCAAAACAGTTTCAGTACAGAACAATGGAGGAAAGGGGGCTTCATTCTTGCACTGAACTTGTCTGTCTGCATAGTACTTTGGTATTTATGTGTTAAGAGTTACATTTACTTGAGCTTTTTTTTGACTCCCTATCTCACTGAAATATTTGTGCTGTTTTCATAATATGGTTTACTTTTATGTGAACTATTATCCTTATATTGATTTCTGCTCAAAGAAACATAAAACAACACAACACAGAAGGAGGCCACTTGTGCTGGCTCTTATAATGGGCTATCCAAGTTGACCCATCTGCCTGGAGATAGCAAGAACTGCAGATGCTGGAGTTAGAGTCAACACAGTGTGGAGCTGGAGGAACACAGCAGGTCAGGCAGCAGAGGAGCAGAAAAGTCGACGTTTCGGGTTGGGACACTTCTTGAATTCTTTAGGGCGGCGCGGTGGCTCAGTGGTTAGCACTGCTGCCTCACAGCACCAGGGACCTGGGTTCGATTCCACCCTTGGGCAGCTGTCTGTGTGGAGTTTGCACATTCTCCTCGTGTCTGCATGGGTTTCCTCCGGGTGCTCCGGTATCCTCCCACAGTCCAAAGATGTGCAAGTTAGGTGGATTGGCAGAGCTAAATTACCCAAGTGTTCAGGGATGTGTAGATTAGGTGGGTTACAGGGGGATGGGTATGGGTGGGATGCTCTGAGGGTCACTGTGGACTCATAAGGCTGAGGGGCCAGTTTCCACATTGTAGGGATTCTATGATCTAATTCTGAAGAAGGGTCCCCACCCGAAACGTCCGCTTTCCTAATCCTCTGATGCCGCCTGACTTGCTGTGTTCCTCCAGCTCCACTGTGGTGACACTGACCCGTCTGCCTCCCCTTTTACCCAGTAGTCCTGAAAATGTGTCCCTAAAAGTATTTATCCAACTCCCTTGTGAAAATTATTAATGAATCACTTTCCACCTCCCTATCAGGCACCGCATTCCTGATTAAAACCTTGGTTTTAAAAAAAACTCTTCATCTCAATTCTATTAATTCTACCAATCTGTGTCTTCTGGATACAGATTCTTCTTATGGAAGAAGTTGCTCCTTATTTACTCTATCAAAATATTTCATAATTTTGAGAGCTTCTATCTAGTATTGAGCAATGAAAAAGGATGAATAAATAATCATGTTGTAAAGGAGCCTTTGGTAAGATGATCATAATATGATAGAATTTTGAGCAAATCACTTTCAAAATGTAACAATCAGAAACTACGATCTTAAATCTAATCAAAAGGAAACTATAAAGGTATGAGGGACAAATTGATTATGGTGAAATGGGTTGTCAGAGTTAGAATTATCCTTTAAGGCTCAAAAATGCTTTCTAATCAACATGTTCAGAAATCTTATTCCACATGTCTGGAGGGGGACTTGAACCAGTGTCTTCTAGTTTAGAGGTAGGGACACTAACACTGCATCACAAGAGAAGTAAGGCTCAAACAGAACAGCTCCAGAGTTGATTGAAAACAGGTGATGCTCATGGCCAAAGGCTGATGTGATGCTGAGGCAGTGTTCCTACCTTTGAGCCAGAAGACCCGGATTCAAGTTCCTCCCATCCTAGCGTTTTCTCATAACGCATGTGAACCAGTTGATTACAAAACATCCAGCTTACTTGCCCAAGGAGCATGTTATCAGGTTACATGAGGTGAGCTGGTAGTTGCTCCAAAGTGTAGCTTTTAGTGTTTCTTACGGCACAATGACAGTGACAGTAAGAGCTGCTGATGCTGGAGTCAGAGATAACACAGTGTGGAGCTGGAGGAATTTTCTGCAGATTTTCTGAAGAAGGGTCCCGACCCGAAGCATCGGCTTTCCTGCTCCTCTGTTGCTGCCTGGCCTGCTGTGTTCCTCCAGCTCCACAGTGACAGTGAACCTACCTCTGAGCGAGGAAGCCTGGGTTCAAGTTTCACCTGCTCCAGAAAGTTTAATAACATCCTTGAACAGGTTAATTTAGAAAAAAAGAGCTGACTTCTTTAACATAATTTTAATTTAGCTCATTCCCTTATAATTGTTATCATCGCACTGTCCGTAGTGAGTAGTGCTTGTTAATTGTTTGCTGAATTAATAACATGGTGAGTTGATAGTGGCAAAACAAAAATGCTCAGAAAAATGCAACAGCATCTCAGTCGGACAAAAACAGCCAAATTCTTTGGTTGCTCTTATAATGCAGTGGCAGTCACCATTCCTCTGGGAAAGGAGGCCAGGGTCCAAGTCTCATCTGCTCCAGAGTTGTGCAATAATATTTCTAAGCAGAAAGATTCGAAAATATTTAAACCAGAATATAGAGGATATCATAGTGCAGTGCTAGTATCCCTATCTCTAAGCCAGGAAATCCAGGCCACATTTGACTAGGTGTGGCATCAAGGAGCCTCAGCAAAATTGGAGTCAATGGGAATCAGAGGTAAAACACTTCAGTGCTTGGACTAAGGACATGCTTGTTGGAGATCAGTCAGCTGAGCTCCAGGACATCTCTGTAGGAGTTCCTCGGGGTATTGTCCTAGGCCCAATCATCTTCAACAGCTTCATCAATGACCTACCCTCCATCATAAGGCCAGAATTAGGAATGCTTGCTGATGACTGCACCATTCATGATTCCTTAGATATTGAAGCAGCCATGTCCAAATGCAGCAACCATCCTGCACAATATCCATGCTTGAGCTAAAAAGTGGCAAGTAACATTCACGCCACACAAATGCCAGGCAATGACCATCTTCAACAAGAGACAATCTAACCATTACCCCATGACATTCGATGGTGTCACCTCCACTGAATCCCCCAATTTCACCACCTTGGGCATTACCATTGAACAGAACCTTAACTGGACTAGCTATACTTTAACATGGATGATCTGGTGAAGTTTTCATTTAAAAAAATAGACTGAAGAGAAAAGGCTAGTGACCATAACTCTGAGCCAGGATTCTCGGGTTCAAATCCACCTGCTCCAGAGGTGCGTCATAGCATATTTGAAATCAAATATATCTGATAGGAAAAACAGAAATAACAATATTTCTTAAATGGCAAGGGACTGAAAAGCATTGAATTTCGAAAGGACCTGCGTGCCCTGGTTCATCAGTCACTGAAGATTAACATGCAGGTACAGCAAGCAATTAAGATGGCAAATGGTATATCAGCCTTTATTACAGCAGGATGAGAGTATAGGAATAAAGACATCTTACTGCAATTACACAGAGCCTTTTTTCAGACCATAATTCAGACCATATTTGAAGTACTGTCTGAAGTTTTGGTCTCATTGCCTACGGAAATATATGCTTGTCATAGAGGGAGTGCAACAAAGGTACACCAAACTATTTCCAGGATGGACAGATGTTCCTATGAAGAAAGATTAAGGAGACTGGGTCTTTATTCTTCAAGTTTAAAAGAACAAAACAAATATACAAAATTCAGGGTAGATGCAGGAAGGACGTTCCCCTAGCTGGGTATCTAGAATCAGGGAACAGAGTCTTAAAATATAGGTGTGCCATTTAGGATTGAGATAAGGTCATTGGTTGTTTAATCCTATGTTGAATCATTGAAATTTGCTACTTGAGAGCTGTGGAGACACAGTTGTTGGGTATGTTCAAGACTGAAATTGATAGATTTCTACAAATTAAAAATGTTGAGGGTTATGGGAATAGTGCAGAAAAATGGTGTCAACATAGATCAGCCATGATCTCACCAAATGGTAGAGCAGGCTCAAAGGGTTGAATGGCCAACTCCCATTAACTATCACTGCTCGAAGGAGAATAATTCTCCAGCTCCTCCAATCCCTCCTTGTAACTGAAGTTTTGCATTCCCTATCAACCCATGTCAACTCTGTACTGCTCTAAAGCTTTGATTTCTCTCCAAAAGTGCAATGCGAAAACTGACTATAATGCTCCAGCTGTGACCTAACCAGTGATTCATGAAGCAAACTTCCTTGCCTTTGTATTCATTGACTCTGTTTATAAAGACTTATTAGGT